GGGACTGTGTGTGGAGCCACTTAAAGCCAGAGTCCATCATTTGCAGCTAAGTAACTGGCGCAATTATTGTTGCAAAACGTACTTGGTTAAAAGATAGTAAGGGGACTAACCTCCCTGTGAAATTATGCTTTCTGGCAAGCTGTCTTTTTGAAGAATGAAATCAGCGAAAGAAGGCCTTTCCAACGGTGCGTCTTAAGAAGCACCGTTGGAAATTTCCGTTAGTAGGTTTTTATTCGGCGTAACCCACGCAAGCATTGAACCCACGAACACGCGGGCGCGTGGTTGCTATTATTTGTCGGATCAGTGCGCAACACATCGCGTAGCTGCAATCGGCTCAGTGAGAACGTGTCTCGGGCCCAATTCAAAACATGATTCAGCAACTTTTGATTTGAAATCGAGATGCCAGAATGTAGTTTTTCTCGAAATATACAGCTAAAGCTGAGCTGAAACTTCATCAGGTTGGTTGTTCAGCACCCTTCTTTAGATTTGAGCACTTTTGTTGCTTCAATCGAACAAAATGCACAAATTACAAATGATGGACTATACCTTTAAGGGTTGAGTAACTTATTTCCCTTGGGACTTTGCCTTTGAATCCTTCAATCCTGTAGATCAGACCCTAGGATATTGACAAATAGTTGGTAATCGGAGACAGTTAATCAAGAACAGTGGTCATGCCTTTAATTATTCTTCATCATCCGTCATGTCATACCACCATAATCAAGAGCCTTAGCAATTATCCCAACCATTTGGAGAATCAAGCAATCAACTGCCTAAATCCTAGCCCTGCAACGCGTACACTTTGAGCCCAATAGACTAAGTGCAACTTCTCTTTGCCATACAACAGTGCATAAAGTTAATGGACCAATCAGATACAAAGATTCCCAGTATGCAATTGTGGGTGACTCACATGTTCTATGGTATTAAGAACATACAGTTGGTGACTTAATAGTTCTTGTTCGGTCACAATATCCTCAAAAGTCTACATCATGTTGTTTTGAAAAGCAAGTACCTTAAAATTAAAGTTTCAAAGACGTATATAGTTTAACAATACAATAGGAATCGATAGTCACAGTAATGAAGATAATAAGTCTTAATTTTATACAATATTACGTACACTCTTTTCTGCAGATTGGAAAGCAAAATTAAAGTAAAATTAATTTTGTACACCTTCCTGTGACAAATCAAATAAAACAGTTTTGAACAAAATTTACTTCGGATCACCATTACACAATGTCTGTTGCTAATGTTTTCTTTCACCGCCCTATCCAAGGGTGGTGGTATACAAATGATGGATGTTTGTGAGTGCAATGGTAAGAATAATTTCATGAGGTGACCGATGAAATGTTCCATTCCACGAGGCGAAGCCAGTGAGATAAAAAATACATTGAGGAGTTTTTTGGTCACTGTTGTGGTGTGACTGCAATGAAATTAATATCATTCAAGGTCAATCGCTCTGGAGATAAATATGAATAATAAGCCCATTACACTTTTGTGTTTTGACAATCAGAATTTGGTGAAAGTGAAAGGAGGAAAAGTTGCATCACGCACATGACTCGTGATGTCTTCCAGTCGTACTTTCTCTCTATTTAATCTATTGGAGTTAGTGTAATTGACACAACCGTGACTTGGTTTTCTTTCCTTGTCTTTTTACTCTCACTTTCAGTTGATTGTTATCTCATCTCTTCACTTCTGTCTTAAGTACAAGTCACGCAAGTGAATGACCTTCTCCTTGTAATTCCTCACCAGTTGACAAAATAGCTATCAGTTTTGATTAAGGTACATGTACATCTAAAAATCTTTTAAAAAATGCTCAATTCTTCCATGAAGTTTTTTTGTTAATAAAAGAGAAGGCTGGCAAATTATTTTTGTGAATAATTGCAGGGTTCGACCTTAACTCTTTTGTTCACTAGCCAGCCGGGGTACTGAAGCAACCGCTTAACTAGCCCGCGGGCATTTTCACTAGCCCGCCTTTTTTTTAAACTAAAATACAAAGTGACGTATTTTCAGGCTCAATTCTGAGGCAAGTTTGTCAGTGTTTTTAATAAACAGATCTAATAATTTAACCTTTTCAAACAGTTCGTAAAATTAGACACAAATTGATGAGGTTTTCTATCTGAATTTTTTGATTGATTTCTTCCTGTCCGTTCATCTTTGCCGTATCCCGTATCCCAATAAGATTTTGACTCGCCAGCCGGGCTACTTCAGGAATAGTTTGACTAGCCCGCTGCTGTTTTGACTAGCATTTGGCTAGCGGGCTACGGCTAAAGTCAAACCCTGATAAATGGTACTCTCTGAGTGCAACGCAAAAGCTCTTCATTACATTTTAGGCGCGCATCCAGGAATTTTTGCCGGGGGGGGGGGGGGGGGATCAGCAAAAATTCTGCAATGTACACAGGATTTGTTTCTCCAGACACTTGGCCCCATAAAATCAATAGGTGTTGGGGGGGGGGAGGGACTTGTACAATATTTTCAATGGGGGGTGGGGGCGCTGTTCAAATCCAACGATTATTAACACTATTACAGAATAGTGTAAAAGCACCCCCTAACCAAGCTGGCTCTGTCTGTATTTTGTGCACAAGGGGACATTTTTAGCTGTACAATTTTTTGGGGGGTGTAAGAGTGGGGGGGGGGGGATTTCATCACTTTTAAGGAATTTCTAATATAAGAAAAATTTGTTTTAGAGAGCTGGGGGGGGGGGGGGGTTGATACGCGCCTGCATTTTGTAATTATTTAACAGCTTGTCAATATAGTGTGCAATTAAACCACTGGATCACTCATTATTTAAAGTTCTTAATTGTCCCGTAATTAATGAAAAATAACGGGCACATGTAATTAAACTTTTGAATGTATTCCTCGAAATTGCCCCTTTTGAGACCAATTTTACTTTGTTCTTAATTTTGGTGTTGCGCTCTTCAGTGGCATTTTGTTACTTTTGTCGGTTTTTATGCTAATGTGATTTCCGTACTCATTAGCAAAGTGTCTTGTCATGAAAGGCAAGATACAACATTTGCAAACATCACAAAACGAAATGATCAAATTATCACAAAATACCATACTAGATTGTTAGGGAGTGACAATCTAAAGCATCCTGTAAAATCATGGCTCCTGGTGTGCTGACATTTTCAAGAAAAATGGTATTTTTCCAACGCTGGTCAGCCGACCAGCGTTGAAAAAAACTTTTCTTTTTTTTCAAAAACTGCTCCCTTTTTTCATAATTAGTTATTGTGTGTTTTCTTTGCAATTGATTACACAACTGTGAAAGGGTACAAGCCTGCTAGACTGATTCTCTGACCTTACAATTCCCCAAAGTCTATAAATTCTCCAATTCATCTTAAATGGGGTCAGGGAACCAGACTATAAGAACATGAATGGTTTTCTTGGTTTTTCCAGCATCTACAAGCCCAAAACGTGAAACAAGTCTTTTTAACAATATTTGCTTTAACATACTAATCCACCAAATCGATTTATTTCTGAAAAGTGCAGCAAAAGCAAATGTTGTACTTTCCCTTTAAAGGCAGAGACCTGCATGTTACAGCTCTTCAGTAGAAAAAAGCTGCCAGATTTTCGATATTTTATTACCATGAGTCTTCTTTTCTGATGTGACTCATTGCTTGAGACATACCAGTAACATATTGAGCAAACTTTTCTGGGAAGTTTTTTCAATGAGCAAAATTTGGGATATATAATTTGAAAAGCGAAACTCCTATGAACAGTACGACTGTATCTAAAATGACATAAAAGCAAGAGCGCCCTCAGTTGTCAGGAAAAGCATGGAACCTTTTTACAGTTTCAAGAAGTGCAATAAAATTAACCAAAACGAGATGTCAAATAGTTTCTGGTGCTCATAAATTTAAGAGTTTCAGAAAGTTGCACAAAATATGTCCCCAATTATAAAGATTCATGTCATTGTCTATTCAAGCAAGCATTTCAGCCAATTAGTAAAATTGGAAAGTGATTTCATTCACTGCTGTTCAAAATCTAGAATCATCTTGATTCTGTTTGAGCAATTGTGTGATTTGGGAAAAGCTGAAAATTCGACTTTACTCTGGTGTCCACTTTTGCCGACCGAGTTATGAAATGAAGTGTAGGAATTTGATTTTAAAACCAGTGTGGTAGTCGAGTCCATCACAAGTCAATTACAAGTTCGGTCACAAGTAAATCTGAAGTCCATTCTGAAGTCCGATCTTAAAGCCAGAGTCCATCATTTGCAGCTATCCAAAAAGTAACTGGCGTAATTTTTGTTGACAAACATACTTGGTTGACAGATAGTAAGGAGACTAAACTCCTTGTGAAATTATTCTTTATGTGTCAAGCTGTCATTTTGAAGAAATCAACAAAAGAAGGCCTTTCCAACGGGTGCGTCTTAAGAAGCACCGTTAGAAATTCAAATTAGTATTTCGTTTTGTTATTCGGTGAAACGCGCGCTAGCGTGGACACGACGCACATTGGCGCGTGGTTGCTATAATTTGTCGGTTCGGTGTGTGACATCGCGTAGCTACAATCAACAAGTGAGAACGTGTCTCCATTGCTGAATTCAGACCCAATTCAAAACATGATGCAGCAACTTGTGATTTGAAAGCGAGATCCTAGAATGTTGTTTTTCTCGAAATATACAGCTGAAACTTCATCAGGTAATAGTCGTTCAGTACCCTTCTTTAGATTTTGAGCACTTTTGTTACTTCAAATGAACAAAATGCACAAATTACAAATGACGGACTATACCTTTAAGTAACGGGGGATGAACATTGACAACGGAATGCCAGAGTTCTTTCGGATAACCTATCATTACTTGGGACTGGTTAACTGGTGATGGACATTCCAGGATTCGTGAAGACTTGTGGTGGACTCAATTACAACAAGTATGTGAACCCAGAAATTTAAGTTAACGCAAAAACGTTGACCATGAAATCTTTTCATGATGTCTTTTTGGAAACTTGACAACAAACTGATTATTTACATGTCCACTTGGTGAAGTCCCTGGTGGTGGAATTACCTTATACTGGTGGTAAGGTGTCATTTGATCCTCCGTGACCATCTGAAGACAGTTCCATCTTCTCTTCTCCAGGTTCCTGAGCTGCATCCTTCTGACCAATTACAGACAGTTCAATCTGGTCCTGTACATGTTCTTGAGCTGCATCTTGAGGCCTGATTGCAGACAGTCCTATCTGGACATGAATGAGTTCTTGACTTGCATCCTTTGGCCCAATTGCAGACAGTCTTGCAGTTTCTTGTTCTGGTTCCTTAGCTCCATTCTTCTTCCTGATTACAGACAGATCTTCCTGTCCAGGTTCGAGTTCTTGGGTTGAACCACCGTGGCGCGATCCCAGATACATCTGTTTGGTCTCGTACAAGTTCTTGAGCTGCATCCTGTGACTCTGAGTTTGGTCCTGCACTTCATCTTGAGGTGCATCCTTCTGCTCACCTGGAGACACTTCTATCTGTACATGTACAAGTCGTTGACTCGCATCCTTTGGCCCAATTGCAGACAGCTCTATCCGATGCAGGGCGTGTTCATGCGCCTCACCATGTGGTCCAATTACAGATAGTTCTATCTGCTCTTGCACTGCGTTTGCAGCCGCTTCGTTTGGTTCGATAGCAATGAGTTCTCTCTGCTCTTTCGCTGCTTTTGCTACATCCTGTGTTTTGCCTTTGCAATGTTGTGCAATGCATGAAAAGGAGAACGCTTCAACTACAGCACTTCGATAGGCGGAGTTTGTGACGCTGTAGACCAGGGAATTGATAGAACTGTTGATCACCTCCAAGATGAGTGCACTTGTTTTTAATATAAATAAATGTAGTCCCAATTTGCTGTCGAGAGTGTATAAGTTCACAAGGACAAAGGTTGTCCACACAATACGCAATAAATTTAAAATAAGAAACACAGCAGTGTTAATAACCAGCATACGCGCGACCTTGCCAACTGGCTGTGAATGTTGCTGTGAAGCAGGAGTTTGACGGCATAGCTTGATCACGATGTAAATGTACGTAGATACAGTGACTGTGACAGTGGACACATAAAATATTAGTGCCAGAACAGAATATATCTTGGCAAAAAGAAGTAGAGCTGTTGATGGAAGGTGGTTAAGCCCAATTACTGAGAAACCTCCAAAAACCACGGAAAGAACCCAGAGTCCTGCAGATATTTTAGCAGCTCGAGTTTTACTGGCTGAGGCCCTGAAAGTTATAGGGTGATGCACAGCTGAGAATCGTTCCACTGCTATGGCCGTTACAAAACAGTAAGAGGCTGTAATCGCTGTTTCTCCCACTGACGTCAAAATAGTTTTTAATGGGTTTTTGCTGTTTGCATCAAATTGTATAAATGACGCTATCAATGTAGTAAGAAGGACAATGGAGTCAGCAACTGCCAGATTGGACAAGTACACATTGATGATTGTACGCATAGACTTCACTCGAACTACGACAAAGAGGAAGACGAAGTTCAAGAGGAGACCAAGGGGTGGAATGATTTGAGCAGAAATACCCTGTGAATATTCAGCTTGCGCTGCCTCTGACACATCGTTCCCTTCCAATGTAATGAAAAGTTGGTTGTTTTCCTCCATGAATTTGATTCTGTTTAATCATGTGTACTCTCTATCATTTACTCCAGGTTTCTGATATAACATCAAAAATTCATTCGTTTAAATACACCTTTGCCATCATATCACTTAAAGAATTAGTTTCAATGGAAACATTGGCCATCAGGATGTTTATTTGTGATTTGGTTTCATGTTTGGTTTACTTCACCTGGAGATTTTTTTTGTAACCAAGAATTTCACTTTTGATATTTTCTTGATCGTAAGAGCTATGATCATCTGTTATGATAAGCAGTGCTGGAAACACATTTAATACTGAAAATCCTCAACTGATTAAAAAAAAAAAATTTTGGCTTACAAAGAAAGGAAACTGCTTGAATTTCAATTTTTTCGGTTTTGGGTAATCATTAAGGATGTCTTTGCTTGTGTGAAAGTGAAGTAAGATTCGCATCCATGTTCACTGACCTGTACGTGATGATTACTGAACTTGGACTGCTTGGTGCACGATTTATTGCATGCTGTCAGTTGAAATATATTTTGGCGGGAAAAAATGAGGGAAAAAAATGAAGTTTTTCGAAGTAAATTTCAATTTTTGGTTTCGGGTAATCATTAAGGATGTCATTGCTTGTGAGAAAGTAAAGTAAGATTCGTATCCATGTTCGCTGACCTGTACATGATGATTACTGAACTTCTTCTGCTTGGTGTACGATTTATTGCATGCTGTCAGTTGAAATCTATTTTGGAGGGAAAAAATGGGGGGGGGGGAAATTGAAGTTATTTGAAGTAAATTTTAATTTTCGGTTTCAGGTAATCATTAAGGATGTCTTTGCTTGTGTGAAAGTGAAGTAAGATTCGTATCAATTAAGGTTCGCTGAGTGTACGTGATGATTACTGAACTTGGACTGCATAGTGCACGATTTATTGCATGCTGACAGTTGAAATTTATTTTGGAGGGAAAAAAATGGGGGAAAAATGAAGTTATTTAAAGTAAACTTAAGCGAAATCAATCTTGGGTAATATTTTTTTGGGTGTGAAGGGTAGGAAGGGGGTGTGAGGGTGGGCTATGGGCGGGGTTGATAGAAATGGACATGGGTGGACTCTATTGCGATTCTGCTAGATCAAGTTTATGCAAGTACATGTACTTGTATAATATTAGGCCCAAGCTGCATTAAATGCCAGTATAACGTATCAACTTACAAGACTAATAAAGTTATGATTTGGGCCTATATTAATACATACATATTCAGCCTAATCATTCTAGAGCCAGATTACGTCCATTTCCCACAACCCCTTAACTTTAACACCCCTCCACACAGACATACCCGCCCCCCATCCACAACCACCACAGCCACCAAAAGATAATGCAAGCCTGATTTCACTTCACTTTACCTGATTTTGTTCTATGAAAACCAAACAAAATTACAGTATGTAATTGCGCAGTATAAATTGCGCAACAAGCAGACACAGTTCAGTATCGCTGACCTCGTAGAGGTCAGCGAACCTGGATATGTATCCTTCTTTGCTTTCACACCAGCAAAGATGATTACCCGAAACAGACCATGACACTATAAGGACTTTGTGAAAGAATTCCCTCTCGTTTTAAGCTGGTTTACTCTTTCAATCATTTTTTTTTTTAGCTCCTCCGAAAGAATTCTATACGTTTCCTGATCTTAACAAACAATCTATTACCTCGATCTTACGATCCACATAATATCAAAAGTGAAATTCTTGGTTTAAAATTTTACATCAAGGAACTGAAACATGTTTCGATAGAAAAAAGTTTTAGCTTTCTTTAACGTGATAATGCATTTAAACGACTGAAATTCGAGTTTATATCAAACTGATATGACAGATAGTGTACGTGAACAAATAGAATCAAATTCATGGAGGAAAACAACCAATTTGTAATTGTAGCGGAAGAGAACGACCAGTCAGAGGCACGCGTAGGCAAGCTATTGATTCAAAAATTCTATCTGCTGCAATCATTGCACCAATTGGTCTCATCTTGGACTTTGTCTTCCTCTTTGTCATAGCTCGAGTGACTTCCATGCACGTGCAAAGGTCATAACTGTGACCCTTCCATCGTGCCGGGCGAAGCCTGCGTTTCCCAGGCGCGCGCAGCAGGGCAATTTTGCATTTGGGGGGAGGGGGGGTTAAACGTTAAAGGGCACATTGAGCGTTGCTATATCTGTGTTAACAGCTCGACAAGTTTTTACCCGGCCCCCGTAATTTTGTGAAAATGTTTTCTCGAAGTGACTGCATGCAACCTCGTCTTTCAAATTCAATTAAGTGAAACACATTCAGTCACCATTGAATACAGATCAGTTAACAGGGAAATGAATCTTCCTTTTGCTTTCACCCAAGCAGGAAAACACCCTAAAAAAAATCAGGAAACTAATGTGCCAATGCATGCAAAGCGATGTAACCCGTGTGAAATGCGTGCGAAATTAAAAGTAATATCATATTGTCCGATTGCATATTTAAGCAAAATGAATTTCGATTTGATATCAGAAAGATGTAGGCAACGATACCGAGCACACATAAAAAGATGAAATAAAATTCATGGAAGAAAATGGCCGAATTGTATTCGAGGGGGACCAGGGGTCAGATGCAGAACAAGTTCAACATTCACTACTTCTATCTGCTAAAATCATTCCACCGATTGGTCTCATCTTGAACTTTGTCTTCCTCTTTGTCATAGTTCGAGTGAAGTCTATGCGGACAATCGTCAATGTGTACTTGTCCAATCTGGCAGTTGCTGACTCCATGTTCCTCCTTACTGCATTGATCACGTCATCAATACCTGTGGAGTTTGAAAGCCAAAAACTGAAAGAAATTATTTTCTTGTCATGGAACCTTACACCGGGTTTTGCTTCTTACTGTTTTGTCACGGCCATAGCAGTGGAAAGATTCTCAGCTGTTCATCACCCTATAACTTTCAGGGCATCAGCCAGTAAAACTCGAGCTGCTAAAATATCTACAGCCCTGTGGGTTCTATCCGTCATTTTGGGAGTTATCCCACGAATTGTAGAGTACAATGTATTAAAGTCAGGATCTCTTTTCCTCAAAATTAATCTGATTTTGAGACTGATAATTTATGTGTTCACTGTCACGGTCACTCTGTGTATGTACATTTACATTGTGATCAAGCTATGCCGTCGAACTTCTGCTTCACAGCAAAATTCACAGCCAGTTGGCAAGGTTGCTCGCATGCTAGTCATTAACACTGCTGTGTTTTTTGCATTTAATGTATTACGTATAACCGGGATTATTTGGACTTTAAAATTATTGTACTCTAACGAAAGCGCAAATGTAGGCCTACTAAGAATAAGGGTCAGTGCAAGCATCTTGGAACTTATCAACAGTTCAATCAATTCCCTGATCTACAGCGGTACCAACTCGGCCTATCGAAGTGCTATAGCAGAAGCATTCTCCTTTCTGAACCTTGCTCACCACTGCAAAAGCCAAACAAAGCAAGTGTCACGGAAAGCGAGGCAGCAGAAAGAGTCGCTTGCTATCGGACCAAACGAAGCTGCCGCAGATGCAGCAAAGGAGCAGATAGAACTATCTGCCATTGGGCCAAAGGATGCGAGTCAACAACTCATACATGTGCAGATAGAAGTGTCTCCAATTGGGCAAAGGAATGCACCTCAAGATGTAGCGCAGGACCAAACTTGCCCAAAGGATGCAGCTCAAGAACTTGTACATGTGCAGATAGAAGTGTCTCCAATCGGGCCAAATGATGCGGCACAAAACCTAGTGCAGGACCAGATTGGGTCGAAAGATGAAGCTCAAGAACTTGAAGTGATAGATTTGTCTGCGATTGAGCCGAAGGATGCAGCTCAAGAACCAGCACAAGATGGATCTTAAGTGCCTGAAATTCGGCAGCGAGATTCAGCTCATGAACTTGACCATCAGAGCTGAAGGATGCAGCTCAAGAACCAGCACCGGATAGAACTTAAGTGTCTGAAATTGGGCAGCGAGATGCAGCTCATGAACTTGACCCTGGGCAGGAAGATCTGTCTGTAATATTGGGCAGAAGGATGGAGCTTAAGGAACCAGAACAAGAGACGACGGAACTGTCTGCAATAGGGACAAAGGATGCAAACCAAGAAAGTGCTGATGTACAGATGGAACTGTCTGCAATTGGGCGTAAAGATGCAGGTCAAGAACTTGTACAGTACCAGATATAACTGTCTGCAATTGGGCAGAAATGTTGAAGCTCAAATAAGTTAAACAAGAACAAATGGAACTGCCTTCAAATGGGCAAAAGAATTTAGGAGTAGAACTGTTTAGATAGAAGTGTCTGTAATAAGGCTGGCTGAGCGATTAAGCTCAGGAAAATCGTCTTTTATTTAGACTTGGTGCCATAGTTGGTCATTGTTTTGCGTACAGTACCGTTTACTGTACGCACACATGCAAAATATCGCTGCAATGCGCGTAGTCTGGTTCCCAGACCAAATGATGCTGATTATTGATGTTCAATTACCGACTTGGCAAATACGTTTTCAACTTTATACACATTGATCTCTGTATACACAGTATACGGAGATCAATGTTTGTACACAACACATGGGGGTATTTTGAATCGCTAGCGAACTCTATGCGAGCACTCTGATTGGTTCAGTTTCAAGCGTGTGTTCTCGGCAGCCACAGAAGGTCATTCTCATTACTTCGAGGGTTTGTACTTTGTGTTGTGTAACATTACAAAATTAATTATAGGGCATACACGACTCAAATAAAGCAAGTATATCACAATGATACATTTTATTTCTTTACACAATTTACCCAAGCTGAGTGTATATGGTCGTTAAAACATACAATGTATGTCCCTGATGTATGTAACGGAATGAATGAGTCCTCATTTGCATCTAGCGGAGCGCCATTGGATTTCACCGCAAAAATGCACTGCATATGTATTGCGCTGCTCGCATATACATGTATGAATATAACGGTGAGAGGACGTAATCGTCAAGTCGTTAGA